TCTGGCGCCCGCGACGCACAGCCCCGGGGTCCGAGGGCGGCCGGCCAGCGGACCGGGCGTCCAGCGGGCCTCCGGCGCCCTGGTGCGCGCAGCCGCCGCTCGCCCACCGCGCTCCCGTCCCCTCTGCGGGGGCCCCCTCCTCTCTCCCTCTCTCTCTCTGCCTGCTAGCTCTGCCCTCGACTCCCTGCCTCCGGCTGTGTGGGGAGTAAAATGGAGAATTTGTACATAGGTTTTCTTCTCCTTCTGGGGGGGAGGTGCGCTCTCTTTTACTCTTGTGGGTTTCACCTTTTCACCGAGCTGGAGGCGTGGGCGCGCTGCGTGGCGCAGAGGGGCGAGGGCGAGGCGGCCCCAGGCGCCGCGCGCCGCCGCCGGCAGCCGCATACAATGGGCGGCCGCCGCGCACGGGGCGCCCCGACAGCCTCCGCCTCCCCCGAGCGGGAAAGGGCCCCCGCGGGAGGGGGGGGGACAGACTCGAGGACGCCTTTCTTCGGCTCCTTACCCTCAGCGCTCGCCGCGGAAGCGGGCGCCGACTCCCGGACTTGCAGGCTGCGGAGAGAGCGAGAAGCGCAAAACGTACCCCGCACACGCAGTGCTCCCCCAACCCCTCCCGGGGAGATTTAAAGTGAGCACGAGTCGCAAAAACAAGCCCCTACCTCTGTCAACACAGCGCGGCCAGTGCCTTCCACACCAGCCCGAGGGCGTTGTGCAGCTCCGGGGCGCGAGCCCAGACAAACTTTTACGCGGTCCGGAGCCGCGCGGGGCGGGCGGGTGCAGCTCCCACCCCCGGCGGCGGCGGCTTTGTCACTCCGCGCCCGCCTGAGCCTGCCTAGGGGAGCGAGCTCCAACGAGGTGGGGGGGTGGGGGGTGCGAGTGTGCGATTGGAGAATATGTAACTCATAGAAGGATCATTTTCCCCCAGTACGATCTTTCAAGGAAAAAAAATCCATTGAAAGAATTTTCAAAGTGCTGTCTTGGTTTGCAAGAGAGGCACCGGCAGCCTGCGGGGAGGGGAGGAGGCTCTCGGCCGCGCGCCGCCCGGGAGCGGCTCCCGTCCGCTAGGTGGCAGCCGGAGCCAGCGATTCCTGCGGGCCCCGCGCGGGCCCCGCGCCGCCGCCGCCCCGCCTCCCACGGCCCACCGCCTGCGGGAGTCGGGGTCTCTCTCCCGCTCTCCGCTCTCCCCCTGTCTCCCTCTGTCTCCCCCTGTCTCTCCCTCTCTCTCTCCCCCTCTCTCTCCCCTTTTCCCCCTCTCCCTCTCTCTCTCCCCCCACCCCCTCCTTTTCAGTCCCTGCCCCTCCCCCCGCCCCTCCCCCTCTTTTGCTCTTTTGCTCTTTTCCTTTCCTTGGGACTCGGACTTGGCCGCACCGTCCGACCCCCACACCCACCCCCACCCCCTAATATCAGGACTCACTTTTTTATTAATTAATAATTATCGAACCATTGTTTGCAGTTGGGAAACAGCCTGGGGATTTAAAAAGAAAAAATAAATAAATAGAAAGATGAGCAAGAAGGTAGCACCGGCTGGATTGGAAAGTTTATTTTAAAATCATCCAGGGATTGCCTAGGAACCGCGGGTTCGTATCAAACGTGTGGTCAGCGCTGCAAATTTCAGGAGTGCGCTCTGTCCTAAAGCCTTCAAAAAAAAAAAAAAGCCTTCAAACCCCGGAGATGCGCTGGGGCGCAGACATAGCCGAGACAGCGGGGAGACCCTACCTCGCGCCTCCGAAGGCTACCAGAGAGCAGCCTGCAGATTCGGATTGTGCCCCTAGTGAGAAGCCAATGCACACCGGGGGTGTCGCACGCACTGCCTTCCCCCTAACGCCTTTCCCCAGCCTGTCCCACGACACCCACTTCACGCTCACACAGCCTGATTTTTCAAACTTTTCGGGAGGAATCCAAATAACGCGGCTCTCACTCTCTCCCCGGCCCCGCCGGCAGGCAGACACCCCTCCTCCCGCTGCCGGGGCGCGGGTGCCCGCGAGCGCCGCGAGTGCGGGGTGCATGTGTGCGTGAGTGAGTGCGGAGAGGCCGCGGCCGCCCCTTGCTAATCAGGGCCCCGAGGACACAGCGGCGCGGGGCGCCCGGTCGGGAGCACCCCGCCGCCGTCGCCGCCGCCGCCCCCGCCCCGCGCCCGCCGCGTCTGTAAGGTAGCGGGGCGGGAGCGGAGGAAGAAAGAAAGGGCCGCGCGCGGGGGAGGGCGCGCCAGCCAATGGCGCGCGGGAGGCTTGGCTAACCTTCGCCTCCCGCGCGCTCCCCCCGCCCCGGGCTCGGACCAGTCAGTCGCCTTTGATTATCAGTCGCCAGCAGCCCTTCTCCTGGCTCCTTGACACGAGCTCCATATAAGGCAGCGATCTCCATAGAAACGTGTCAGTTTCAATAGTAGTGTCAAAGTTCACTATATACAGACATTCGCGCAGATCCCCCTTTCGGAAACATTGCTCGGCGAGTCCTCCCGTTTAAACGCATTCAATTTTTGGGTCTCTCTCTCTCTCTCTCCCCCTCTCTCTCTCTCTCTCCTCTCTCTCTCTCCCCCCTCTCCCTCCTCTCCTCTCTCTCTCTCTCTGCTCTCTCTCCTCTCTGCTCTCTCCCTTTCTCTCTTCTTACATATTCTACTACTTGTTCCTTCTTCTTCTCCCTCTTTCTCCCCTTTTCTTCCCTCCTCCTCGTCTCTTTTACTCCATTCCAGCAGAAGAGCGAGGGCTAAACTTAAAAAAAAAAAAAGGAAAAAAGAAAAGAAAGAAAAGGAGGAGGAGGAGGCACTCCCTCCGTATTCTTCTTATCGTTATTTTATACATATATGATTTTTTTTGGAGGGAGGGTGTTGCTTCCCGGCTGAAGAGCACTTATTTAAAATACTAAAAAAAGAACATTTTTGGGCGATCTCCAGGGTTTTTTTAACTAGCTCTGTGTGTTATAGCAGAAGAGGCAGAAGAAGGAGCAAGAAAGAGGAAAAGAAGAGGATTATTTATTCGACCTACTTTGGATGTCTCTCTCGCTTTTTCTTTTTTTTTTTTCTTTTTTAAATTTGTGATTATTTTTCTTCCGATTTTTATTTTTCCCCATCTCGCTGTGAATCCGTCGCCGGCGTGAATTATCCTGTATTTTCCTCCCCCTTTCCGTCACCTCCCGAAAAAAGAAGAAGAAGGCGAGAGCCCGGCGCCACCGGCACAACAAAAAGAGCAAAGTGTGCGATCCTCCGCGCCGGCCGCCTCCCGCTCTCCGGCGCTGCCTTCCTGAATGGCTGGCTGCGCCCGGCCCTGGACCTGGCCCCCCGACACCCGCGCGCCCTGATCGCCGCCCGCAGCCTCGCCCCGCGCTCGGCTCGGCTCACCCCGCTGCCCGCACCCCCGAGCCCGGCGAGGGCTCCCGCCCGGACAGCGGCGGCGGCGGCGGCGGCGCGGGCCGCCCCGGCCTCGGCTCGCGCTCCGGCTGCGGCTGCGGCCCCGACTCCGGCTCGGACTCCGGCCGGGCCCCGGCTCCTCCAGCGGCGCTCGCCGCGGCAGCCGAGCCGGCAGCTCCAGCGGCGCCTGCAGCCGCGACCTCCTCCTCCTCCGCCGCCGCCGCCGCCGCCGCCCTCGCCGGCTTCCTCTATGTCGGCTCAGCCCGCGCGCTGAGCTCAGCCCGGGCGGCCGGCGGGCGGGCGGGCGCCCGGCGCGGGTGAGCGAGTGTGTGCGCGAGTGTGCGCGCGTGTGTGTGTGTGTGTGTGCGCGGGGGTGCGGGCGAGGCGGAGGGCGAGTGTGTGCGCGCGCCGTGGCCCATGCCCGCCGCCCCCGGCGCTGCGCCCCGCGCCGCTCCCGGCTGCCGCCTGTGCCATTTCTGATTTTGCAACTTGGGGAAGAAGAAAAAAGCGAGAGAAGGGAGCCTGCTCGCCGGGGGGTGGGGAGGGGGGGGAAGGAGAGCGTGGCCCCCCCAGGATCGGAGCGCGGGGGGGAAGCGGGCGAGGGGAGCAGGGGTGTTGGGGGGGGAGCCTGAGAGCCTGGGGGGGCTGCAAAAAAGAGAGAAAGAAAACAGCAGGAACCACAACAAAACGCCAGCAGGGCGGGCGGGCGCGCGGCAGCAGCGGGGCGGCCGAGGCAGGAGCGGCGGCGGCGGCGGCGGCGGCGGAGGCAGCGGCCGGTGCCCGGCTCGGGCTCGGCTCCGGCGACCCCGGGGCGCCCGGCGGGCCCCCCGCCCCCTCCCCCTCCCCCCTTCCCCTTCCCCTTCCCCTCCCAGCGCGCCCGCGCGCCCCGCGGCCCTCGGCGAGCAGCTCGGCTCCCCCCAGCGCTCCCCGGGCCCAAAGATATGGCAATGGTAGTTAGCAGCTGGCGAGATCCGCAGGACGACGTGGCCGGGGGCAACCCCGGCGGCCCCAACCCCGCAGCGCAGGCGGCCCGCGGCGGCGGCGGCGGCGGCGGCGGCGGCGCCGGCGAGCAGCAGCAGCAGGCGGGCTCCGGTGCGCCGCACACGCCGCAGACCCCGGGCCAGCCCGGAGCGCCCGCCACCCCCGGCACGGCGGGGGACAAGGGCCAGGGCCCGCCCGGCTCGGGCCAGAGCCAGCAGCACATCGAGTGCGTGGTGTGCGGGGACAAGTCGAGCGGCAAGCACTACGGCCAATTCACCTGCGAGGGCTGCAAAAGTTTCTTCAAGAGGAGCGTCCGCAGGAACTTAACTTACACATGCCGTGCCAACAGGAACTGTCCCATCGACCAGCACCACCGCAACCAGTGCCAATACTGCCGCCTCAAGAAGTGCCTCAAAGTGGGCATGAGGCGGGAAGGTGAATATCTCCTCTCTGCCTCTCTCCCCGCGCCTCGCCCGCCTGCTCCTCCCCGCCCCGGCTCCCTTCCTCGCTCTCCCGCCGGCCGGGGCCCGGCCCGGCTTCCCCCCGTCCCCCCGCGCCGTCCCCCCGCCCTCCCCGGCTCGCAGCCGCTGCCTCCCCCTCCCGGCCTGCGCGGCTCTCCCCGGCTCCCCACCCCGCCCGCTGCCTGCTCTGCGCCGAGTCCCTGGATGGATCCCTCCCTCCCTGCGCCTCGGCTGTGCCCGCCGCGCGTCTCCTTCCCGCGTGTGCGTGAGGATGCTCGGGGCTGTGCTGGCATGAACTCGGGCAGGGCTGCTGGTCACCCCCCCCCCCAAAACGCTGTGTGTGTGTTCGTGTGTGTGTGTGTGTGTGTGTGTGTTTCATTGCACTTTCCCCTTCCCCTCTTCATCGCCTTTATTTAAAACGGGGGAGGGCTGGGGGGCTGGAGGACTCCGAGCTGGAGATTCATTGCTGCCATCATCCTTTTGGAAGCCTAGCCTGGAAAAAGAGGAGTGAGATTTATGGCACTTGTAGGTCTAATTAGGGGGGAAGGGGGGCTTCTGGCCCCTCCACTGGTTCCCTGTCCTCCTCACCGAGCAGGGGCCGCCTCCTCCAGAGCCGTGGCCTTGTTTTCACCCCTCTACTTTGAAAGGAAAGTTTGTGACTGAGCCGTGCTTTCATAGTTGTGCATTTTTTTTAAAGCATGATCCTCGTTTTATTTCTTCATCAAACTCCACCCTCTGCTTAAATACTGCATACAAATTACAATTTACAACGGCATTTACCGATGCTTCTGATTTGGCCATAATGCATAGGCTGCAGCTGGCATGAGCTTCCACATCATTTAATCCCTGTGTTGTATGGGTTTGTGTTGGGTGTTTTTTTTTAATGCAACTTTTGATGTTGTATTTGGATATGGTTCATGTTCATGTGGCAAGAGATGCAGCACTTTTCTGATAAATATATTTAGCCGTGTACAGTTAAAGTTTATCTCCTAACAATCGTTAAAGATGGCTTAAAGTCAAATTAGCGAACCAGTCAATTTTGCAGAATGTAGATTGCTACTTCTGGCAATTGACTTTAAAATTATATCTTATATACCACATGAAAAGAAATTGAATTCCTTCAGATATCAAGGAGCAGGCAAACATGACGACTTCATTTCTAGCTCCAGGGAGATTGTGTAGGCATCTGAAAAACAACAACAACAACAACAACTTTGAATTGTGCTTTCAGTTAATTGAAAAATAACTGCCAATTTCAAAACTATAATTAGAAAAAAGTATTCTAGCCATTATGTTTCAAGAGCTTAAATTTCACTGGAACTTGCATTAAAATTAGAATCAATGCAAACATAAAGGGGGAACATGTACAACCTGAACTAAGACAGCTACATGGACATGGACATATCTATATTAATTTGTTTGGGGGGAGAGTTGAGTAGCCCTAACTTTTCCTAAAGTTGCTTTGTTTACATGGCAATTTAAAACGCTGGCACTGTTGAAGTAAAACATACACATTAGAGGGGGGAAAAAAAAAACTTTGGTCAGCTTTACGAACTCAAAGCTTGCTTACGTTTTGCATTCAGATGGTTAATGAATCCAGTGTTTTTGCAGTTGCAAGCTGGTGCATTCACTGGGCAAAAGCTGGCTGCAGGTTGCAGTGGCACCGCGCAGGACAGACATTAATTATATTTCCCACTTTTTTCAATAATGTTTGGCTACTGTAAGTTCAACTTTTCTCTTGGAAATTTTCAATTTTCTGTTGCTTTTAATAGTGAGAACTTTGTATGGGGCGATGGGGAGGAGGGGAGAAGAGAAGGGTGCAGGATACTTGCTGTCTACTCAGAAGTTGTAAGTGCTTAGTAGGATGTGTAACTGGTATCTATTTTAACGGTAATTCTGCAGCATTTTTTAGAGAATGGGTTTTTTTGCCTAACACTGCTAGCTTGTGGATGAAGAGGCCGCTGGGCATGCGTTTATTCGCCTAGAACCACAACCTTTCTCCAGTTTCGCCTCTTTTTTTTTTTTCTTCCTTGACCCCGATTTGTTTCATTCCGGAGGGGGTGAGTGGGGTGGGGTGTCCTTTATCTGTGTGTTCCTCCTTGGTAGCCCAGGGTTTGGGTGGCACTTCCTTGGCCACGCGGAGCTGGGGGCTCTGAAGTCAGGCCTAGTTCTGGCGGGGCTGAGGTGGCCAGGGGCTCGGGCGATGGCTGGACGGACACCCCGAGCCCTGGCGCTGGAGGACCGAGCCCCGGCTCGCACGGTGTGGGCCGGGAGTGGGAGCCAGCAGGAGAGGCGCGGGGCGCCTGTGGCTGCGGGCAGAGCTGCTGCATTGTGTCGGGTGCGCTGCGGCGCGGCGTTGTTCGCAAGCCCCCTGGATGCACATTGCCTCTTTTCTCTCTGTCTCTCCGTCAGCGGTTCAGCGAGGAAGAATGCCTCCTACCCAGCCCAATCCAGGCCAGTACGCACTCACCAACGGGGACCCCCTCAACGGCCACTGCTACCTGTCTGGCTACATCTCGCTGCTGCTGCGCGCCGAGCCCTACCCAACGTCGCGCTACGGCAGCCAGTGCATGCAGCCCAATAACATCATGGGCATCGAGAACATTTGCGAGCTGGCCGCGCGCCTGCTCTTCAGCGCCGTCGAGTGGGCCCGCAACATCCCCTTCTTCCCGGACCTGCAGATCACCGACCAAGTGTCCCTGCTGCGTCTCACCTGGAGCGAGCTATTCGTGCTCAACGCGGCCCAGTGCTCCATGCCGCTGCACGTGGCGCCGCTGCTGGCAGCCGCCGGCCTGCACGCCTCGCCCATGTCCGCCGACCGCGTCGTGGCCTTCATGGACCACATCCGCATCTTCCAGGAGCAAGTGGAGAAGCTCAAGGCGCTGCACGTCGACTCGGCCGAGTACAGCTGCCTCAAGGCCATCGTGCTGTTCACGTCAGGTGAGGCTGCGCCCGCGCGGAGGGCAGGCCGCGCCGGGAGCGAGCGCAGGCTCCGCGCCGCCGCCGCCGCCGCCACCGCCCGCGGGGCCTGGCTACCCGCGCCGCCGCCGCAGCCGCCGCCGCTGCGGGTGCGGGCGCACGAGGCCCGGCCCTTGCCGGATCGTGGGCCTGACCTGGGTCTGCGGCCCCGGCGCGGGGACGCGGCCGGGCCGCGCTGCTGCCATCTTGGGAGCGCTGCGGTGCGGGAGCCGAGGCGGCCGCCGGGGCTTACCAGGGCCTAGGTGGCCTGGCCCCCCGCGCGGGGCCGCGGCTGCGGTGGATGCGCGTGTGCGGAGAGGGGGAGGCGATGCCGCGGGCCTGCCTGGCTGCTCTGGTGTGCGGGGTGTGTGTGTGCGGGATGCGTGTGTGTGTGTGTGTGTGCGCGCGCGCGTGTGTGTGTGTGTGTGTGAGCCCGAGCTCAGCGTTTCTGGGGGAGGAGAGGGGAGGGAAGAGAACGTGGAGCTGTAGCTTCCTACTCCGTGTGCCACGCGCCGGGGATGAGTTTCCCCACACAGAGAGACACAGAGAGAGAGAGAGGAGGGAAGAGAAGAATACGCACAAATAAATCATAAATAATCCCGCTTTATGGCTGCCTGATTTTCCCTTATCGGAAACCATTCATGTTTGCAGTTTCTGAGGTTATTGAGGGTCATAAAAAACGGATTCGATCTAAACAAGAAAGATAAAAAACAAAAGCAAGATTGTAGAACCCGCAAGGATGGGTGCCTTCCCGGCCCGGAGATAAATTTCATAGCTATGCCAAACACACGAACGCTGGAAACCTAAAGGAGAGCCTTCAAAATATATCGAATTAAGTGGAGGCAGCGGTCACATGCATGTTAACAATTTCTCTTATGATAGATGGTTCAAATTAACTTCCAGGAAAGAGCATTAACGTTGCCTTTGAAGGCCTCGGGTCTGAGCCTCTGCGAACACTGCCGGCCTTTTATTATTGTAACCTGCAAGAGGCAAACATATAAACACCCGGGACAGCAGGTAATGGGGGGAGGGAATATAAACAAAGCCAGAAAGGAGGCTGGTGGGGAGCAGACTGGGTCTTGAGCCCTGCCCACTGTGGGTAGAGTTAGCGGCTGTTCTGCCACTGTTGTTGGCACTATTGTTTGTAATTCCTCCATCCGGAGAACAAATGCACCATCCTCATAAATCCATCCTGGGGCCAGGCCCTCCAAAGGCCAGATGAAACCCGTTCTTGAGCAGAGATGGAAAAAACCCCTTTCCCAAGGCCTTGCTGAGCAGTAAGCAGTGGTCTCATCTATCAATATATCTTGGCTTTCATGCGTGAAGAATCGTATTTACATTGTATTAAAATGACTCTTAAATTTGCACAATATTGTAATGTAGCAAATGTAGTATTAATATCGATCTGAGCAGCAGATAATTTATTTAGACAAGAGCGTCTCATTTGTATGCAGGGTGGCCAGAGCCATGGACCTAAGCTGCCCCTTTTACTTTCAGTGCAAATGCAGGTCTGCCTGTGAGAGAGGGAGTTATTCTTTGCGAAAGGATAGAGTGTGAACCTTAAAACAAATGGAAGATTTATTGAATAGCCTCCTCGGTGTTTGAATGCATTTTATCTTAATAAGTCTTCTTGATGGAAACGTGTTTTTCAAAAGTGACAAAGAGCCCGGGAAGCAGCGACCAGAATGCTTTAGCTCTGGCAGGCCTGGGGGCCTGGCTGGCTCTGCGCTACCCAGCTCTTTAGCCAAATTTATCAGGAAGCAAGCCAGTGTCAGGGAAGCTGGGGGTTGAAAATCGCATCCAGCGAGGTGTCTTGAAGCAGAAATGTTAACTTGGAGCTGGACAGAGGTCTACCGGAGAAAGGCCTCCCCTCCCCTTAGCCTTTCTCCCCCTAAGGGTCTTTGAACCCCCTTGACTTTGCTGATCTCCTGCCCTTTCCCAGAGAGAGAGCCGAGGACTGTGCAGGCTGCAGGGGGAACATGGTGGAATTATTCATGCTTTTTCTTTTAACTTTCCGTCCTAAAACACTCCTGTGAAAAGTGCTCCTTTTAAAAAGTTTCCCAAAGAAGTTTCCTTGAACCAAGTGTTCAAGGTGCAGGGGGTGCCTAGAAGTGAACAATAACATTATTTTGTTGGAGAATTGAAAGCGGAATATCTGAAAATGGAAATAGAGCTGTCAGTAGTAATTCACCCCTCCTCCTCCCTACAACACGTTTCCACTTTTGACTAAACTTGTTTTGATTGCCAGCCAGAAGGGAATTCATGGGAAGCCTTCTCAAAGTCATCCAACTTTTAAGCAAACTTTGAATGATGGAAAAGACAGTTTTAGACATATTGTCCAACGTGGTTTGCTCTGGTTAAGTATTTGAAGCTGGCACGGGGGTCCCCCGTGGTGGTTTTCACATTTGGCCTCCGGATGCTATGTTTAATCCTTAATATTCTGGACAGCATCCAAGGACTAGGTCATGACCTGAACTTACTTTTTTTAAAAAAAATTTTTTTCATTAATTCACACACCTAAATATTCCTTCAAATAAATGAGACCTTCTCTGAAAAGAGCCATCTAGTTAACATAAATACAATAAATCCATTTTCTGTACAATAATAACTTTGATTTCTAGTTATGGCAGCTGATTACATCTACATTTCCTGAACACTAAACTCTTGTGAATGCACAACATGAAATACATTCTCTGCACTACAAAGGCTAAGCCAGGAGGGCCTCGGCAGTAATGGTTATTTATTTACATAATTTCTTTTCCATACACTGTAGAAGAAATATTGAGGGTTCCCACATTGACACTACCATATAAAAAGTGAGACATGGATTGTGCACATTCTGCCTCCTTTTCTTATCTGGAGTATAACTCACACACCCCCCTGCTCACCTCGCTTTGCCACCATAACCCACCCCCCAGTTGATCTGAGGGCTCTTGCCTTCTGTCCACAGTTGGGGGAATCCTGTGTGTTGGGGGGTGGGGGCAGTGAATGAATACTCAGAGTAGGAAGCCAGGCCAGAACCAGGGCTCTTGCCGGAAGGAGGCCACAGGGCTGGCCGGCTGGTACCTGGCAGGTGGGCCCAGCTACAGACCTCCCACCTCCCAAGGAGGAAAGAAACCGAAGGAGCTAGCATAAGGCCTAAGCACACTTTAACTGGGCTTCTCCCTTGGAGTGGCTTATCCAGGAGTTGGGGAAGTGACCTTGCTCTCTGGGGATTTTAGTTGTAAATATCAGAGAAATATTTTACTAATTGGAAGGGATGCCAAATGGGTCTTTAAAAAAACCTGCTGGGGTATAAGTGGGTCCTTTTCCTTTTGCATTGTGTGGGCCTGAAAGTGATTCCTGGCATAATGGGCGGATAATACATGGAAAGCAAGACATTTGTAAATATGTAAATATGCCTTGCAGGATTGCCTTGCAGGGGGCCAGGTTAGCAAGGCCAAGGCAGACTTCTAGGTCCATATTCTGAGCAGCAAGGCCCTCCTACCTCCGCAAAAAAGCTCCTGTCCTGGCCCTGCTAGCCATAAAATCTCCCTGGCTCCCCAAGTCAAGGCATTGTGGATGTACCCAGCCAACTGGCTGGAGTAATTAGACATCTGAGGAGAGCCCAGTCTAGCTCCGAGGTCAAAGGGGACTTGCCTCAGAAGTTCTTGAATTATCACTAGTTTTATTTGTATTTTTGCTCGAGGCCATTGCCTTGTAGATGAAGGTATCAGAATGCTTTGTAAATCCCAGTTCTTGAAATATAAGGACATAAAACTGGCAATGCAGCAGACACAGGTTTTGCTTTGAATCATTTGTTGTGTCTTCTTGGGGTCACACTTGCCCATTCACAATTATACAGTGTCCTTTTGGGGCTATTGCCATGCATGAATTTCCCCCCAGATCTATATATTAGCAAACTCTGCCTTTGATCTCTACTCAACCTCCTGACTGGCTAAGGGCTCCTCTGTGATCTTCCTGTTTTTAAAATATTTATTATTAATATAAGAAACAACATGGGTATTTGGACTAGGAGAGGAAGTCTTCACTCGGTCCTGTAATTGTACCTTCCTCTCCATTTGCTTGCCTCTGGTTAGTTGGCATTGTGTAATCCGCTGTCTTGAAATATTTTTAGAGGACCAGGAAGGGCCTTGGTTGACAAGAGATAAGCACGCATTTTAAGATGCTGCCATTGTGTGGAGGTGCCTTTTTCTCCTTTGGTCTTGCCACAGGAAGCCCATCGCCCCCCAAATTCCCCCCTCTACTCCGCACCCCCTGGAGCTGAAGCTGCTGCAGCCCAGCTTTGTGTCTGATCCCTGAAGATGTCTCCTTTCCACAGCCTGGAGTAACTGAGCCACCTTCCTCTTGCTTATTACACAGTTTACAGAAATGTGACCAATTTTCAATTACTTGATCAGAGGCACAGATAGCAGCGTGCGCCCTCACCAAGGATTTGCTGCACAGTCCTTGCTTGCATAGATAGCGGATCTCAAATTCTATATTGCTAAAGCCTGGGCTTGATCTGATTCCAGGCACTCCCTCCCATGTGGTTCTTCACTCCCCAATCTCAGTTCTCCTGGAGGTTTCTGGCTGGGGTCATCTGGGCTTGGGAGGGGACCCTCAGGGGGCTTCAAGCACTGCCTGCAGGCTTCGTATTGCTTCAGGGACCCTCTGCACCCCGAAATCAGGTGCAAAGGTGGCAAAAGTCCTCCCTTTAATGAGCACAGCCAGAAAGATGCTCCCCGCCGGCCGAGGACAGGATGCTGCACACAGCAAACATGGCTCCAGCATCGTACATTATTTAATCCAAAGGTGAAAGAGGAAAAACAAAGAGGTTGCTGCCTCCACAGGCCTGTGCCTCTCACCCTCTCCCGCTCCCCTAGGCTAGCCGGGGGGTTGATTTATTTTTATTTATGTGGGGGCTGGGAGAAGGGAGAACTCAAGTAGGGAGTGGGGAGGCATGGGGGGATTTCTTTTATTTTTTCCTTCTATTTCTGCTTTTTCCCTTTCTCTTTAAGCATAATCCTAGTGATAATGGCTTGTTATTCGTGCCTTTGCTGCTCCCTGGCCTAACTGTGTGCCCCCTCTCCCTGTCTCTGTGGCTCCTGCGGCTGCTGGGGCAGACGCCTGTGGCCTGTCGGATGCCGCCCACATCGAGAGCCTGCAGGAGAAGTCGCAGTGCGCGCTGGAGGAGTATGTGAGGAGCCAGTACCCGAACCAGCCCAGCCGCTTCGGCAAACTGCTGCTGCGGCTGCCGTCGCTGCGCACCGTGTCCTCCTCTGTCATCGAGCAGCTCTTCTTCGTCCGTTTGGTAGGTAAAACCCCCATCGAAACTCTCATCCGCGATATGCTGCTATCCGGGAGCAGCTTCAACTGGCCTTACATGTCCATCCAGTGCTCCTAGACCTTGGGCGCTACCCGCCTGCCCCCGCCCCCCGCTTAGAGACTCTGAGGACGCGCCGGGGGCCAAGGACTGCGAAGCCTCCTCGGGGACACCGGGCGGCTGACCCGGGTGCGGTGGGCCAGGCAGGCCGGGCAGGGGGTGGGGAGGAGGGCCAGGGCAATAGCAGCCCACCCTGCAGACATGCAACCCGAGCTGCAAACCAGGAGAAAAAGACTCTTTTAGGATCAGATCTGTGAGCACGATGGAAAAGAAAGGAAAAGGACCTTGTGTCGTGGTGAGGAAAAGAGGAAAAAAAAAATGTTGGAAGAGAGGACCATGAGAATTTTAATAAACCAGAAGGAGACGAATGGACCTTCCAGGATTTATTGTGGACGGATGTGGATATATTCTGTACAGAAAACAACACATATGGAAGTGGACTGAATCCTATGTAGAAACACACACACACCGAACATTCTTATTCATTTTGTAAAATACTAGTCTTTATTTTCATTTTTTGTAAAATTTAAACATCGTATGCGCATAAAGAAAAAAAAGGAAACAAGAATTAGGGGAAAATAACATTTTCCAAATAATTATAAAAAAAACTGTCCTGTGTCTATGTATCTATATCTGTTTTGTATTTTTTTCTGGTTCCAAACCAGATTTCCTGTGATTCTATACTAATAATTTTTGATATAACCCTTTGCTTCTTATAATGAGTGCGATATATGTTGTCCAGGCTGTTCTTCAAGAATTAAAATTGAAGTGAAAATTTAAACAAAAATAAAAGAATTTAGCAAAACCCATGTGTCTGGTTGCTTGACAGATGTCATCCGTGCAAGAGAAACCCCTGATTCATTTCCACTTAAGCCATGACTAGAGTTGGGGTCTCTTTGGGGGTGGGGGTGTCACTTTTAAGGCCCAGCACCAAGTTGGCTAAAGCCCAGCGGCTGCCTGGGGTTTGGGAATGCCGAAGGTCAGGCTCTGAGTGGGATGTGGCCTGCGGGGAGCGCAGGGTGCCAAGGTCTGGGGGCCATTGCCCTGGAGAATCTGCGGCCGGGTGCGCAGCTGGGCCGTGCGCTGGGGCAGGCGGGGTCGCGCGGGGGCCGAGTCTGCGGCGTGTGCGGCTCGGGGCGCAGCCTGCTTCGGGGCTTCAGTGGCAGCACTCAGGGCCTGACGGCAGGTTGGCACTTGCTGGGCTGGAGAGGCTGAGGAAGGGCGCGCAAGGTCAGGCGTGGCGGGGGCGCGAGGAAGCGGGCTACTCAGAGGCCTCTGGACCCTTGCGCGTGCGGATGAGGGCCGCTGGAAGGTCCCGCCGCCGTCCACCAGCCCGCATCTCTAGAATTGTCTCGGCGCTGTGAATTCTGGCTTTGCTGGCTGTGGTTTGCCCCTCGGTCTAGCCCCTGTAACAGGTTCCCAAGACACCCCCGTCTCACCCCTCCGTAACCTCGCCCCCGACCGTGGCACTTAGGGGATGGACCCGGAACTTGGGTGCCGGGGAGCTGGGCTGTAGCAGGGTCTTCCAGGAGCAGCCACTGGTCCCTAGTGGCCGCGTGAGGGCACAAGCCTCCCCAAGAGGCCGCTTGTCAGGTGCGCGTGGGGGGCCGCTCTCTATAACAGCTTTCCAAGTATGAATGTTTTATAGGATCCGAGCCGGCAGTGTGAGAACACACACTGCCAAGGGAGCTCTTTCTTAACGTATTAATAAAGCCAGATCTGTTAAAAATACCCCATCTACCCCTCTCCTTCCCCTAGCCCGACACTGGCCCGGATGAGATGAGGGAAAGTCACTGGCAAGGTTTTGCGTTCAATATGATGTCTACAAATCTGCTGCCCACCCCCACCCCCCAAGCGCCCACGAAAGAGGCACTGACAAGCTCCCATACAACCACTCGCTGGAGGGTTTTAATACTCCGGGTGCAGTGCAGCGTGGGCAGTGCGGGGCCCACTGGGAGGAAGACCCTGGGGGTCAGCGACCCACAGCCCTGGGCTAGGGAGGCGAGGCAGAGAAGCCGTGGAGCCTCTCCAGGCCATCAGGGTCACCTGGCTCTGGGCGCATTCTCCGCACCCCGCCCAGGGAGGACATCTTTGGGCCTACGTCGACTTTCCTGCAGATTGGACACCTGAGTCAGGAGCGGGTGGAGGCGAGGTCCCTCGTTAACTCCTGGCAGCATCCCAGGAAGTGCCAGGCGCCCTGCTTGGCGGACCGGCCGTCCGGATGGACGCGCGCGGAGCGTGGACCCTGGGCTGGGCTGGGCTGCACCTGGGGCGCCGAGGGGGAGGGGAGACGCTCTCCCTCTCACCCGGCTTCCCTGCCTTTCTCGAAATGAGATGTAAATATATTCATTACAGTGTGATCCCTCTGATGAAAACAGATAAACATTTTCGTAGGTCGGGAACGTACTTTTCAATTAATCTCAATATGGAGGCCCAAACACTAGCGTGGAGACTGGCGCGCGAGCCGATGCCCAAGGCCCACGCTGCACTTGCACGGGTTCGGGAGGTGACCGCGGTAACCTGGCTCTTCCTAAACTGGGCCCGAGCCTGGCCCGCGGCCTGGGAGGAGCCGGCGACCTTTCCCGGTCAATGGCCAGCGCTCACAGCTATGGAGGCGTAGACTCCCTGGAGGACTCGTCTGGGAGCCTGGAGGCCCTGGGACATCGGGGACAGGGCGCCCGCGGGCGCGGCGGCCCGTCGGGGGACCACGGGGAGTGAAATGTACCCTCTGCCACCTCCTCCGTGGGTAGGGAGGCCCCCTCCCCTGCATTCCCACAGGGAGAGACAGTAGCCAGTGCGGGCCCAGAGACTCCGTGTGGCTCTTTCAGAGAAAGACGGAGCTTCTTGGGGATCAGGGGTCACGTGGGCGCCCCCCGCCGGTCCGGACTGGCCGTGCGAGGCCGAGGCTCTGCCCTCCGCCCGAGCGCAGACTGCGCTGCGGATCTGCTAGCGCTGAGGCCGAGATGGTAGCATCCCAGCCTCGGGTTCCGCTTTCTGACAGTTGGGCTGGCCGGGGGCGCGGCCCGAGGTCTCCTCCTAGGGCAGAGGGGCCGGCCCCAGGAGTGACCAGGCGGCCGGGCTCAGGGTACAAGGCCTTCCCAGGCCCTGGTTGCCGCTGCGGCCCAGGACCTGGGCAGGAGGCGAGCTGGAGCAGGACTAGACGCCGCTGCCTGGGTGGCCGCAGGGAGGCCGCCGAGCGGCGAGCCCGCCTCCTTGCCAAGCGCCAGGGGGAGCCGTGGAACCCGGGTGTGGAGCCGCAGGCAGAGGTGGGGCCCGCGGCCCTGCCTGGCCTGCCCGGAGCTGTCGCAGCACTCAGGAGCCCAGAGAGCAGAGCTGGGCTAAGTGGGCGAAGTGGAACCGAGGGGCTCCCCAGAAGGGGGATGTCCATCTTGAAATGGTCTGGGACCTAGGAAAGTCCAGCACTGTCTTTCCTAACCCACGCACTTGCGGGACAGCTGAGAACTTCAGGGGTTCTGGAGTCACTTTAAACTATATTCGCCATAACGTTTGCCAAAAACATCAGTGCTCGCCTTCGCAATCGCCAGAGAGGGAGGCTGCGCCTCATCCGCTGGGGTTCAAGGTCTGGCCGCCCCCCCCCAAAGGGATGACCTTTGCCCTCGCACGCAAGTCCCTATCTGGTACCAGAACGGTTGGAAGCCCAGGGCTGGGGACAGCGGCGTCTCTGGCCCATCAGCTACTCAGGCGTAAGGGACGCTGCCCTTCCGGTTGGTCCACGCTCTGCCTCCGGGAGATTCAGGGAGGCCGCGCCACGGAGCCTTGCGCTCGGGAGCATTGCGGATCTGGAGCTGCGTCCATCTAAGTCCACCTGGGCTTTAAAAAAGCGTGCAAAAAAAAAGTTTATTTTTTAAAAAAATCTCTCTCCTCTTCCTCCACGCGCAAGCACGCCTTACATTTCCTACAGTGGCTGAATCGCCTCCCGTGAGCCCTGCGATTCCTCAGAGCAAATCACCTGAACGCGTCTGCAAATAGGAAAACGAGAGCAGAGCAGGGAGGGAGTTGTGGGGAACACAAGTGAGGACTCATAAAACTCTTGTTAAAGGGCCTGCTCAGGATCCGTGGCGTCACCGGGCCTTTCACTTGGAAAGCCAAAGAGTTGTATTCCTAAATGAGTTAAAGACCCATTTACCTCTGTCGTGTTCTATTCATCAAGCCACAAGTTGAGAGTTCCTAACATGAAACTATTTGTTTGCTTACACAACCAGCTGGGCGCAATTTCACGTCTGAGATATCTATCTGAAAGCGCCTCTCATTTATTATCTCTCCTTGTCAGCGAATCCATTTTGCAGCTCCCCCTCCCCGCTTTGGAGTTTATTTACTTACTTATTTGTTTGTTTGATTAGAGTGGGACTTCTTTGCCTGGGAGGACCTAGGACTGGACCGCGCTCTGCAGAGGCTGCTGCGCCCAGGGCGCGTGGCCTTGGGGGTCGCAGAGACGCGTCCGCGACCCTAGCTGACCCCGACCGCCAGGGTGCAGGGTGGGCTCTGGCAGGGCCTGGCCTGACACTGCAGAGCTGCTATTGTCCTGGGACGTCCTTTCTGTTAGCCTCAACCACCTGTACGAGGAGGGGGGCGGGTGTGGAGGGAGGCCCGGGAGCCTTTCTCAGAGATGGGGGCCCGAGATGCGGATTTCAGAAATGCGTTCACAAAGCCTCACCTAGTCCCTTGGGGCCAATTTCTTCTCCCGGGCCCGGAACACAGAGTGAGGAACCAAGATGTAAATAGTTGCGTGATGGGTTGGGGGAGGGGGGCCGCGCATTTATTGTGTGTGCGGAGGGAAGAAGGCCTGCACGTGGTTTCAATTTTGAAGCACAAAGAAATAACATGCAATGCAGAAAATAGGTTTATGAATGTAATTGAGAGGAAAGAAAACAATTAACACGGTGCAAGGTTGCACACACTCCCTTCTGCAGCCCTCGCCTCCGCTGCTACCCCAATTTTGAGAAATCCGGATCACATGAATAGTGAGTCTAGGCAGTTGGATCCGGCTGACCAGGGAACCCCTGACGGGGATCTCGGGTGATGGCTGGATAATGCTGTCTGTCCATTTCCCACTGTGCCAAGGCCTCCTTTCCCCAGGCTGAGAGCAGGGGATCCAATCCCCAGGTCCCCTGAACGAAATATTCCCAGTTGTAAAGGAAAGGAGAAAGGATGACTGGAGGGGAAAGGGAGGAAGAGATATAGCGAGGGATTTCTCTAAGTCCAGGCTGGTCTCCACAAGCTATCCTATTGTGTTGATTTAGGAAGACATTTGCTGTATATAACGTTTAAGGCTGATAATATCATTGCGCAGCCAGATAAATAAAGCGTTGGCCCAGCGGTGGGGTCAGCGATCGATCTCTGGGCTCAGAGGAAAAAGGAGAGACAGGGTCGTGCGCGAGGCTCTGTCTGTGTGCTTGTCAGCCGGCGTGCAGGAGCCCGAATGTGTGTGTGAGCGTCAGGGTGCGCGCGCGCGCGCGGGCACCAACTCTTCAGCTGGCCAAGAGGCTCATTAGCATTCCTAACCCATGGACCTACGCTGACAACTAACAGAGATATCCCGCTCACCACCAGGCCTCCTCTCCTTTTGTCTTCAGATCTGGAGGAGAAAAAGATTTCTCCATTGAAGCTGGAACCTGAACTTCTATGTAGTTTTTGGAGAGTCAGTGGATTAAAAAAAATAGATATATCAGGATTTTGCCTGATCTTTCACTCTGCTTTAAAAAAACTTCCCTCCTAAAAAGGGGAACTTTTTTTTTTTTGCCTTTCTCTCTCAAAGTGCAATATGCTTGTTGAAACCCCAAGCTT